TTCCCAGCGTTGTTTTACCAGGTCGAGTGACGGGGGGTTAAGGGGGTCTTGCCTGGAGCTGTGTGTGCAGGTATCCTGAGGAGGGGTGCCTGAGGGCACCACCCTGGGGGAGAGGGAACCGTCTCCGGGCTGCCTCCTCCTCCCCCTGGCAGCCGGGCCCTGGGACTCTCCCTGGCTGGGTCCCTCACACCCTCTAGTGGCAATATTTACCTTTCATATTTCGGGAGCTCCCAAAACCTGGGGGTGCTTTTGAGCACCCTCCGCTTAGCAGCCCGCCCGCTGTTGGGTACCCATCCCGGTGCCCTCTGCAGTAACCCAGGGACTGGCAGCAAACGCTGTGCCTTGCGCTGATTTTCAGTGCTGTGAGCTCAGGCTGAACGCTGCCGGCTGTGGCCAGGCTCCGCAGGCTGGCTCATAGAATGGTTAGGGCTGGAAGGGACCTTAAAGATCATCTAGTTCAGCGCAGTAGGTTCTCTCCCAGCAAGCGCTTTCCAGCCGCTCACGACTTCCAGGCCTGATCTGCTCCAGCCTGCTGGGCTAAGCCGTGCCTGTAGCCCTCTTGTTGACGCAGGCCAGCGGGGTCTGTGCCTTGGGGTGGTGCGTGAGCCCCAGCAGACCTGCGGCTCCGCTGTGGGAGTCCCCGGTACCCCACAGCACTCAGAACGAAATGCTTGTTGGGCTTCTGAAATGAGCTGTGATCTGCTGCCGCGTTCGGCTGCCTCTTGGGAACCGCATTTTCTCCTTTTTCCTACCCTCTTCACCCCCCTCTCCAAGCCTGGTACCCGAGGCGCATCTCGCAGTGTAACCGAAAAAGCCGTTTGCGCATCACTGGCCAAGCGCGAAAGCAGCGGTGCAAAGCGCGGAGCCTTCCCGCTGGCCCGGCCAGCTCAGGGGTCTTCCCTGTCCCTCCCAACATCTGGTCCTTTGGAAACTGGGCTTTTAGCGAGCGGGTCTCTAGTCCTCCTTGTCGGGAAGGTGACACCGACCGAATGTACGTCTGTGCCAGGCTGATTCGAGACGATGGCCTCAAGGCTGCGTGCAACCCAAGAGGTCTTACCAATTCCTCTAACCAGGAGGGTCTTGGTCGGCTTCTTTAACCGAAAGAGCAGGAGGAATGCAGCACAGCGTGTCAGGTGTTACCACAGTTAAATTACAGCTTTTACTGGCATGCCGCCGCCTCCTGATTTTTCTCCAGGAGCGCATTTTGCAATAGCTTGCCCACGTGGTGTAAAAGATGCTTTCTGTAGCCCTGCCTGAACGGAACAGATGCAGCTTTCGGCAGCTCAGCTAATTTCGTGAAACCTTCCCGTGCTGTCAATGAAACTGAACTACGTTAATTATATGCCACCGTTATGTGATGCAACTGTGGGTATTAACAGGCTCACTGGCTCTGCCTTGTCTGTAGAGTTGGGGAGAAGGTTTGCATTCTTCTTTCCGCGTGATGTCTCTTGAGACAGCAAAGTCTAGAAAGGCTTCTCTTTAAGAAAGCCTGTCTTCTGGTGGTAGAGCCTCTTGCTAAAATTAAGACACTTGCTAAAATCAAGCCAGGTTGGGGGGTTGCAATTTTTTTTCATCCTGATTTTAGCAGCTATACTTCCTTTCCTCCAGTTAATTAATTGGAAAAGTAGCCAATAGTTTATTACCAGGTGCCTCAACATGCCTGTGTCACAGGAGCAGGTGCCAGCCATGCTGCAATTGCACTGCTGCCGCCCTCTGAAGGCAGAAACCCCTTCGTTTAGCATGGGAGGGTCGTTAAGATGTGAAAGGATATAAACAAAGGAAAAGGGAATTGGATCTCCTGACTTTTTTATAAGGGAAGATGAAAGGAACTAAGTATGTCTAGCTTGGCCCCAACAGGGACTGAGGGATGAAGACCACGGTGCAGGGGCTGAAGGACGTGGGCAGGAGGGGGGGGTCACAAAGCATGCCGGGGAGGTGAACGATGAAGGGGAGGCCACCCGTGATGAAATGGCTCAATGGGAAGTGGGTGTATTAAGCTGTGCTGCTCTGCAGTGTGATGGAAACCCCTGAACAGTCGCTGGGGCCATTGAGCAGGAAATTAAGCACAGCACTGGAGTATGTGCTGCAGGTCACGGTCTTTCCCAGCCAAGGGCTTTGGGAACGATTCTCCTCTTTTGGGGGGCTAGGTGGGGCTTTGCTAATACTTAACGATTAATTACAACCTTAGAAAGAGACCTCTCCCCCAAATCTCCTTTAACATATCTGGGCTTTAGACTCAGCATTCTGGTGATGCTAACTGTCGGGCCGTCTCTCCCCATCCCCCTTTCCTGCAGTGATCCCCGACTCGCTGCGAGTGACAGCAGTCCCGCAGACGCTGAACAAAGTGGAGCGCGACTCCCTGGAGCTGAAGTGTGAGGTGTCTAAGAGCACAGCCCAACACAGCCACGTCTCCATCGCCTGGTACCGGCAGCGGGGCAGCGAGGTGCCTGTGGAGGTCATCTCCCTCAGCCGTGACTTCGTCCTGCGGGCCGGCAGCGCCTACGCCCAGCGGCAAGCCACGGGGGATGTTCGCTTGGACAAAGTTGGGGAGACCACCTCCAAGCTCACCATCTACAACCTCCACCCATCGGATCAGGGCGAGTTTTACTGTGAGGCGGCAGAGTGGATCCAGGACCCCGACAAGTCTTGGTATGCCATGACCCGCAAGCGTTCCCAGGGCGCCATCATCAACGTGCAAGCCACCGGTCAGTGTCTCCTCTGCCTTTTCTCCATCGGCTGGGTGGTGGGAGGAAGCAGAACAAAGGTCTGCACCTTGCTGGGTGGCTGGGGCTTGCCCCCCTCCTTTGCCATGTGCCACACTTGGGAGGTGTCTGACAGGGGCAAGAGGGCAAAGGAGGGCCCAGGCACTGCCTGTGGGCAGGGAAGGAGTAGCCAGAGGACAGCCAGGGGGGACGTGGGTGGCAGGTCCTGTCTCTTGACGTGGTCAGCAAGCTGGGTCTGACACGGGAGCTAAAATATATATCTTACACGCTTGGTGCTAGCACAGGCAATGAGAGTTTTGGTAAGTGAGAGCGACACAGCAGAAACTAAAACTTCCAGCAAGCACTTCTGTATTGCATAAGGTCTATTTGCAAGTCAAATTAAGGCTGAGAGCTGGACTTGTTCAGCCTGGAGAAGAGGAGGCTCCAGAAGACCTTATAGCACCTTCCAGTACCTGAAGGGGCCAACAAGGAAGCTGGGGGAGGGGGGAGCTTTTTACAAGGGCCTGTAGTGACAGGACAAGGGGTAACAGGTTTAAATTGAACGTGGGGAGGTTTAGATTGGATATCAGGAATAAGTTCTTCATGGAGAGGGTGGTGAGGCACTGGAACAGGTT